CATCTCTGATGGCTTAGTCACCAATGCTTCTCCCTTAGTTGTTGTTTATAACCAGGAAATCAATAAGTAGCAAGGCCAAGTTAAGCTCATAGCTAGGTCAGCTTGATATGTAGAAGTAAACAAAAAGTAAATTGCTATTGTCTTATTTCCCTTTTGAATGGTGGAACTAAAAGTCAACTGTGAGTCAAACTCTCTGAAAAGGGTCCTACTGTGGCAACTGCACATGATCATACATTTCATGTGAAAAGCAGAATGACCCTAGGAAAGCTAGAGTATGACATGAATGGGTAGTTGCAAATGAGTTGTCTAGATAGTCTATTTCCTGCACATGAAATGACTGTATGATCATGAACAGAGAGTTATGGAGACAGGGATAAATGAAGCTGTTGAAAATTTGAATTTCATGGCAATGCTTAGTAATGATCACCCACCATGGCGATAACTCTAAGTAACCAATCAGCAGAATCTTTTGGACAGTTGATATCAATTCAGTCTGTGTCAAGATGAATTATGGAAAGAGTAGTCATGATGTGAATAGAGACTGTGTTTGTACTTGTCAGCATGACCTTCTAGGTACACTATGGATGATATAATTACTACTTCTTCTAGACTTTCTTCTTCTGCATAACAAAAATAAATTGGCCTGCAGGCAGACCACACCATCACTGCCTATACCCACTGGACTCGGTTCCTCCAAGACCCACCCCACCTCCCGAACCCACATATCCCAGGATCCTCTCCATGGCCATGTCTCCCCCACAACATCAGAAGATCCTATAGGCAAAAGTATAACCCACACCAGGTAGTAGAACAAGCATAGGTACAACCTATACCAGTTGGAACAACAGACACCATAGATACAAGAAAAGCCCACACCAGGCAGATGATCCGGATGATATGGTGACTCAGAGCACCCAAACTTCCACAAACCTCAACTGAGACAATCATCCTGGACCTGGCCACCAGCCAATCAACAAAACCCTTGCCCATTCAGGACAAAAGAAAATAAAGAATGAGATAATAAAGGAACCAAAGACCCATCCAACAAAGGCAACACAAGATTTTACAACTGCACCTGTAATTATCCCAAACCTAGATGGGCAAGTGCCAGTGTAATTTAATATTGGGAGACTTCAATGCCTCATTATTGTCAGTGGACAAGTCAGCCAGACAGAAACTTAACAAAGAAATAAAATTGACCACACATTCCATCACAAAGCAAATATCAGCATACAAAATAATTTGTGATCAGCCATGGAGCAAAGTTAGAATTCAACAACAACACAAAGAACAGATGCCTACAAACTCAGAGAGACTGACCAACTCCCAACTGAATCACCACTAGATCAAGGAAGAAATAAAGAAAGAAATTAAAGACTTCCCAGAATTCAATCAAAGCGAGTAAAAACACCCAAACTTATGGGACACTAGGAAAGCAGTGTTAAGAGGAAACTTCATGGCACTACGTGCCCAAGTAAAGAATTTGGAGAAATCTCTAACTAGCAGCTTAACAGCATACCTGAAAGCTCTAGAACAAAAGCAGGAAACTCACCCAGGAGGAGTTGACTGCAGGAAATAATGAAACTCTAGGCTGAAATTGATAAAATAGAAACAAAGAGAATAACACAAAGAATCAATGAAACAAAGAGTTAGTTCTTTAAGAAAATCAACAAGATGACAAATCTTTATCCAAACTAAAAAATGGTAGAAAAATCCAAATTAACAAAATCAGAAATGAAAAAAGAGATATACCCACAGACACTGAAGAACCCAAAGAATCATTAGGTCATACTTCAAAAACCTATACTCTACACAATTGAAAAATGTACAAGAAATGGAAATTTTTCTTGATACACATCACATACCAATATTGAATCAAACTTAAAGAAAAATCTATATTATCATCTTATTAAATGCTGGAAAAGCCGTTGACAAAATCCAATACCCATTCATGATAAAGGTCTCAGAAGGATCAGAGATACAAGGAGCATCCCTAAACATAATAAAAGCAATTTACAGGAAGCTGACTGCCAACATCAAAATAAATAGAAAGAAAATCAAAGCAACTCCACTAAAATCAAAAACAAGACAAGGTTTCCACTATCTCCTTACCTATTCAATATAGTACTGTAAGTAATACAATAAAAGGGGACCAAGAAGATACAATTTGCAAAGGAAGAAGTTAAAATTTTTCTGTTTGCAAATCATATGACAGCATACATAAGTGACCACAAAATTTCTACTGGGGAACTCCTATAGCTGATAAACACCTTCAGTAATGTGGCAGGATACAAGATTAATGCAAAAGTAAAAAAAAAAAAAATCAATGGCCCTCTTACATACAAATGATAAATGGGGAGTAGATAAAGTCAGAGAAACAACACTCTTTATAATAGCAACAAATAACATAAAATATCTTAGGGTAACTCTATCCAAACAAGTGAAAAACCTGTATGACAAGAACATTAAGTCTTTAAAGAAAGAAATTGAAAAAGATATCAGAAAATGGGAAGATCTCCCATGCTGTTGGATAAGTAGGATCAATATAGTAAAAATGGCAATCTTACCAAAGCAATCTACAGATTCAATGCAATCCCCATCAAAATCTAAACATAATTCTCCACAGTCCTCAAAAGAATAATACTCAACTTGATATGGAAAAACAAAAAGCTCATTATAGCTAAAATAAATCTGTACAATAAAGGAACTTCTGGAGGTATCACCATCCCTGATGTCAAGATCTACTAAAGAGCTGTAGTAATATAAACAGCATGGTTTTGGCATTAAGAACAGAAATGTGGATCAGTGGCGTTGAATTGAAGACACTGACATAAATCCACACACCTATAAACAACTGATTTTTGACAAATAAGCCAAAATTATACAATGGAATAAAAGAAAGCACTTTCAGCACATGGTGCTGGCATTACTAGATATTGACATGCAGAAGATTGCAGATAGATTCATATCTATTGCCCTGCACAAAACTGAATTTCAAGTGGGTCAAAGACCTCAACATAAATCCAGCCACACTGTACCTAAAAGAAGAATAAGTAGAAGTAGCCTTGAACTCATTGGCAAAGCAGACCATTTCCTTAATATAACACCAGTGGCACAGACACTGAGAGTGACAATTAATTAAATGGGACCTCCTGAAGCTGAGAAGGTTCTGGAAGGCAAAGGACACAGTAAGTAGGACAAAACAGCAGTTACAGAGTGGGAAACTATTTTCACCAACACCATATCTGATAGAAGGCTTATCTCCAAAATATATAAAGAGCTCAAGAAACCAGATATCAAAATACCAAGTAAGACAATTTAAAAAATGAGATAGATCAAAACAAAATTCTCAGGAGAAGAATCTAAAACTGTGAAATACACTTAAAAATTGTTCATCATCCTTAGTTTTCAGGGAAATGCAAATCAAAATTACTCTGAGATTTCATCGTACACCAGTCAGAATGGCTAAGATCAAAAACACGAATGACAGTTTATGTTGGAGAGGATACAGAGTAAGGGAAACACTTCCCATTGCCAGTGGAAATGCAAACTTGCAAAGTCACTTTTCAAATCAGCATGGTGGTTTCTCAGAAAGCTGGGAATCATTCTACTTCAGGACCCAGATATACCAACTTTGGGCATATACCCAAAGGATGCTCAATCACACCACAAGGACCCTTGCTCAACTATGTTCGTAGCAGCCTTATTCATAATTGCAAGAATGTGGAAACAACCTAGATGCCCTCAACTGAAGAATGGATAAGGAAAATGTACATTTATACAATGGAGCAACTACTCAGCTGTAAATAACAATGGCCTCATGTATTTTGCAGGCAAGTGGTTGGAACATAAAAAAAAAAAATCATTCTAAAGGAGGTAACCTAGACCCATAAAGACAAACATGTTATGTCCTTACTCAAAAGGGATATTAGGAGTATACAATCCACAGCCCCATAGAGGATAGAGAACAAGGAGGGCTTAAAGAGGAATTTGTGAATTTCCCTGAGAAGTAGAAATAGAAGAAATATCTTGGGTAAACCAGGGGTGGATATGGGGAGAATGGGACCATAAGGGCAGACAGGGTGCAAGAGGCAGTTTGGGGACACAATGGAGTGGAAGAGTGAAAAGGATGTCTTGAGGGGGGAGGCAATTTCTGGGTTGGGGAGAAACCTGCTATCAGGGAAACTCCCAAGATTCCACAAGCAAGACCTCAGCTAAGACTCTTAGCAATAGTGGAGAGGGTGCCTGAACAGGCCATCTACTGTAACAAAATTGGTGACTACTCTAATTGTCATCAGAGAGCCATTATCCAATAACTGATGGAAGCAGATGCAGAGATCCATAACCAAACCCTGGGCTGGGCTCGTGAAGGAAGGGAGGAGGGTTTGTTTGAGTCAGGGGACAAGGTCTTGGTAGGTGAACCCGCAGGGACCGCTGACCTGATCAAGTGAGAGCTCATGGACTCTGGACTTAAGGAGCCTGCATAGGACTGACCTAAGCTCTCTGCATGTGTGTGACAGTTGGGGAGTTTGGTTTGTCTATGAGGCTTCTAACAGTGAGATCATACTTGCCACTGATGAATTTAGCTGGCTTTTGAGAACCTGTTCCTCACGTTGGATTATTTTGCCAAGCCTTGAGGCAAGAGGAGGAGCTTGGTCCTGCCTCATCTTGATGTGCTTTGCTTTATTTAAGCCCATGGGAGGCTTGGCTCTTTCTGAATGGAGACAGAGGAGGAGTGGATGGGGGTGGTGTAGATGGGAGATATGAGGGAGAACAGGAGGAGAGGTGGGAGGGAAAACTGTGGTCAATATGCAAAATAAATGAAAAAATAATTTAAAAATTTTAAAAAGAAAATAAATTGATCCCTTCTACAATGTATTCTGTTTAAGAGATCAATCAGCTATCCCTTAGCAGAGTGATTGCACTGAATTATCTCTAACTTGGAAAGAACAGCTTAACTTTGAAACATACAGTATGAATTTATGGTTTTATTTCTCCAGGTTCCCTTTGTCAAAAGACTAGCAGAGAAGAAAAGTAATCAGCAGAAGGGTAAGAATGAATGGCCCTGGTCACCAGCAGGCATGACCACAGTAATGAAGTGAAATAAGGCAGTGATACCTTGGTGCCCAGATGATCTGCCATGGGCACTGGAGCTTCCTGCTCAATTTTACTAGTAAATAGCAGAGGCCCAAAAAGCAGTGCAGTGATCAGGTGTGAGTACTCTCAATGATAAAAGTCGTCATCATCTCAGCAGATAAAATAAACTAGCATATATATTTTAGTGATGTATGACTCTCCTTCTCCATGTGTTAACCCATTTTTTTGCAGTAAAATTCCCAAATCTCTTTAAAAGCATTGTTCCCATTTCGAAAGTCCCGCAAACCTCTTCACCCCTAGAAAATGTGAGAGAAGTAATGACCTAGTGCTGTCCCAGAGAAAGGAAACCTAGAATGAACAGGAGAATTGGGATATGATGAATAATGGCTGTTGTTTTGAGGCCAGCATGGTAGCATAGACGAGCTTGTTTCACTAATTTACTTTGTGTAAGTTTCCCAAGGAATGAGAGTAACCAGAATCATGGGACAAGCGCAAATGTACTGATTACACTAAACCCAGTTACTAGTCATTGGTATAGGAGATGGGGGAGTTGTAATGCAACTCCAGGTTCATTGTCTATACTCTCCCATAAGGAAGAAATTATTTCTCTGACTGACATATCCTTGTACTTACCTACTTCTTGTCCAGAAATGGGCCTCACCCATAAGACCTTCCTCATTCATAATAATACTGTCTCCCCACAGTAACACATATTTCAATGTCTGGTTCTTGAAAAAGGTAAATGATCCAGTTTTTCTGCCTCATTTATACCTAAGCCCAAAGGATTCTTTCCACTGCAGATCTAGGGATGGCCTGGTTTTCTGTTGCAACTACAGTGCAACACAGCTTCTTCCACTACCAGTATCTTTTCATTCATTTACATTGATCCTTCCAAATGACATATTATAATTCAGTTATTGCAGGCATTTTTGTCATATTACAGTGAACTGAAAACTGCAAGTATAGCTTGGTGATGTAACATTTGTCTTGTTATGAATTGAGTCTTTTGACTCAACCCCCAAGGCAGAAGCAAAGAAAAAGAAAGTTGTAGCTCCTTGGTGTTGTTGTCCCACTACCCAGGAGGCCAAGCCTGGTAATATATCAAAGCTCCATGGAGAGTATATACTGATCTACTTTCTTCATTAAAATATGAACACTATGGGAATGAACCAGCTTGAAAGCACAAAGGCATCCTTCTTGAGAGAAAAGGATCATGAGTAAAAACTAGTAATGCATGCAGAGCAAGGCAAGAGATTCAAAAGGTCCAGAAAATAGAGGTATGTTCTGAGAAGTATTGAGAAATATTCTTTGGTATTGGGTGGAATTGACAAAAAAATGTAGATGAAGAACTCAGTAGTATACAGAGGGTCATTTGTTGTTGCTCTTTCCCAATAAAAGGAATTATCAATCCTAGGTATGTGAGAATTTAGCCTGGTATTATCAAACAGACTGGACGGAGATAGAGAAGAGTCTAAAATTGGGAAACTTAATAAGAAGCTGCTGTAATAGTCAAAATTGAAAACACTCAGGAGAACAGGTAAGGTAACTAGTGATATAAAATGTTTAGTAAGAAAGTTACAATAAAATTTGAGGTAGGAAAAAAAAAACCAAATCCAGAAAACAACTATTATATATATATATATGTATATACACACTTAGTTATGATTCATTATAATTATATCTTTATCCATAAAGAGTATGTAGAATAAATATGGAAACCAATTTCATCACACACATAATTGTATTACTTATTACAACACAGAGCTACTTAATATCAGCAATGTCATCTCACTGTAATGTCTGGGGTGTTGACTTGAAGAAGCAAGTTTTGACATGCTGTCTCAAGATCAAAAGGTTCCTTTCTGGAAGTCCCGAGGGCTTGAGCTATCTAGAGGAAATTCCCTGCTAAGAATTCCCTGAAGTGCACATCTGAGTACCATTAGCGAAGGAAGAGTGGTTTGTCTGAAATTCCATGGGGATATATGAGTAGAACAGTCATTGCTAAGGCAGCGGGGACTCAAAAGGTCCACACTTGAAGTCAACACCATTCATGAGATAAGAAAATAAAGAATATTGTACATGATACCTTGTTTAGATAATGTCTAGTAGGAACTGATCCACAAAAGCCGGGGTCATGTGACAACTCCAAAGAGAGCCCAGTTGGTGACTATAAAAACTCAGGTCAAGAAAAGTGACAAGAAAGACACTCCCAAAAGAGAGTTTGAAATTCTGACATAAAAAGTAGGTCACCATGGGCTATATATTTAACAAAAATGTAAAATAATTACAAATAAGATCATAATATCCCCATCAGGAGATTATGGAGAGAAGTGAGCCACAAACAGCCTGAGTGTAATAATTTGTACTGCTCAGACTTAGGATAATTCTGCCAGTTAAAGAAGTGACTCTTTACTCATTCAGGCTCAATTTCATTTTCTTTTTTAGAAAGTGCCAAAAGGAGAATACCATCTTACATTCTGAGGCTATAATTCCTAAAAGGCCACGTTCAAGGATTATGCTGAATGATCACACCCTTCAACAAAGTATTTCACATTGTGTATGTGTATGTGTGTGCATTACAATTTCTCACTATTAGTGGCCAGTATATACAGCTAACATGTTGGCCTTTTGTGATAATTCTGTGTTTCTTGCTTTCAAGAACAAACAAAATTTGTGGTTCTAACATCTCAAAGAGATAGTCATCTTTAGTAAGTAATCTGCTGAGGAAGATTTAGAAAACACAGAACTCTAGAAACCACAGCATATCCCTGCACAAAACGTAGGGGCTTATTATTACTTGAGTGAAAGTGATATATTAACATGCCAATCCTTTGCTAGTATGAAACATATAGGAACCCTGAATATTTGGATACAGTACATATCCATCCTATGAAACATGAATAGGCAAAAAAAAGTGGTTTAATGTGCTAAAGCTTTCATTCTGAGTTGGGAGCCTGTCTCCAGGCTGATCATAAATAATGTAGCAGAGCCCATCTTCTTCCTTTGGAACTAGCTCTTTGCATAGTAAAAGCAATGGCACATGATTTGCACAAATCTTTGCATATGTACCTTGCTGAATCTTTACAGTATCATTACATGTCTTTGGAGGAATAAAATCCAGGATGTTTTGACTATGCTCATGTATCTTCAGCTCAACATATTTAATGTGCAAAGGTAAACAAAGCAGGAATGAGTACTTAGTCTGCTGGCCTATTTCCTTGTTGTATGAATATTCAAAAACCCACCTGTTCAAACATTACACATGATCCCTGAAGAATAGCAGAAACAGTTTGATCAACTAGTTATATTCCAGCATTTTATAATTAAATACACCCTGACACCCCACAAAATGCAATGTAAGACACCCTTGCTGTTACAAGCAAACATATGTGTTTATAAAAATATTTTTGACAGTCTACTAAAAGTTTTTTTTGATTCAGATAAATGAATAAAAATGGTGTAAAAATCATTTCTTCCCTTGAACCAGTGAATTTTCAAGAATTTTATGGTGTTAGTGGGGCAGCTAAAAGATATGGAATATATTTAGATATATCAGTATTTTGATTATCAGAATTGAAACTTTCCAAGAACATTGGTCTTTATTCCCTGGGTACCAAATCAGTCAAAGTTCCCCGAGCACAGCAGCTGTTGCTTAATAGTCCCAAAGAGTTAAGTGAAGCCCACATTGAACACAGATGAGTGTCTCTACGAAGTGGGCCTTCAATTAGCATTGATGGATTGACTTTCTCATAGGCAGTAAAAGCTCAATTTACAGAGAGGAATCCTATGAGATTAAAAATCCATGTTAAGATACAGGGCCTAGAATTTTAAATTTGTAGCTATAAAATATGTATAAATATGAGAAATATATCCTTTGTTTCTATTTTCAAAAATGTCTTCTAATTTATTGTCATTAAGAGATTATCAATATTTGTGTCAATCTAGGAATAGAAAACATGGAATTTGAATAGCATCAAACATATTCTTCCTGAGGTATAGGAGTAATTTTGAAGAATCTGAAAAACAAAACTCTGAAGATAAGACAAAACTGTTGGTTAACAATAAATACAATACCAATAATAAATATTTCCTATTGTTGAAAAACGTTTCATTTGAATTGACTAATACAGACCATCTTGAATATCAGCATTTTGAATGCTTTCCATGTGTTTTGTGCTAGACTTTAAGGCAGGTAAGCATGGTTTTGAAGATGGGCCAGATGTGACCATTTAATTTGAAAGCATAATGAGTTTCCTCTTCAGCTTTCATTGGAGTTGCATGGCTTTCCCTCTTGATCAGGTGACCGATAGAAAAGATCCCCTTAGTTCAAAGCAGAATCGAGAGTGTAGGGACTAGCCTGCTGCTCCAGAAACACTGCTCCTAGGTCCTATATCCAAACCACTGCTGTTCTCTGTGTTTGGAAAGTGTGAGCAAATCAACTGAACAGCATCTCACATCAAAAGATGGGAAGTGGAATTAGTTCAGAGAGTAAGGAGTCAGCCAAGAGGTCAAAAGAACTGGAGAAAAAGCTTCAGGAAGATGCTGAGCGAGATGCGAGAACTGTCAAGCTACTGCTCCTTGGTAATATGTTTCTCTTTTGCTTTTCAGGATCTGTTTTTTTTTTCTCTCATTTATGGCAAATTCACTTTTCTCCAATTTTAATTTTAAGTGTATTCCCATTGGAGAATTTAGAATAATATATGTTTGGAATTCTAAGTGAACTGATTTTTATGTGTACTCTAAATATATTTCATAATTTGTTTTATGTTTCATACTTATTACATTACAATAATGACAAGATACTTAAAATTGTATCAACAATATTACTGCTGGATAAATAGTGCCTTTTGTGTTGTAGAACATTTAAAAATATGACATACATTTCCAATAGAACACTTATATATTCATTTACTCATGCCACAAATTATGTGGCTACTTTTCATTACTTCAAAACAAAGAACAAAATTTTTTGACAATTCTAGCTTCAATAGCTGCTCAAATAACTAAATTAATTAAGATTATCTGTGTGCTACATATTTTAACAAACTACTTAATATACAGTGATCACTTGCATAAAACAACAGAAATTGTAACCCTTGTGGAAGGTAAGTGGGAAGAAGTTGGACACAGTAATATTTCAGTTCAGCAACATGTGAGATTTAAGGGAAATTTAACAATGGACTTCTGGAGAAGAAGCAGAAAAGCTATAATTTAAGATATTAAAACCTGTGGTATTTTAGCAAAAATTTACAGCAATATGTATCAGGTAAATATATTCTATAATCCAGGGGTGACTCAGTTAGAGGCATTCGGTGGACTTCGTCTTCCATTTTGCATTTTTATGTTTTCAGTTTCTCCACATTCAGGCTATTGGCCAGCTAATTAGTCAGTTATCTTTGCTTTTGAAACATTGACCTTGTGTTACAATATTGTATATATGATTCCCAAAACTAATAAAAACCCAAATCAACACAGGAACAAATCAAAATAAGAGCTTTGACTTACTGACAGCTATGTATTTACCCTGGAGCTAATTAATGCAATAGTAATTCATTATTTCAGGATTGTGAGCCCTTATTTATTATTACCACCTATCTGATCAGAATAGCACATGAATCTTACAATCACAGTGATATTTTAATTAAATACTGTGGCTTGGTACCTTTAGGTAATTTGAACATCATCAGATATTTTCTTTTTTTATTTTCATTTTCCTTTATTCTGTGCAAGATATTCTAAGACAGGAACATCACTCATTTGCATATCTCTCATCTGTATTTTACATCTTGTTATTTATATAAAGGTACTATTAACACACAGCTCTAACTCCTTACAATATATTTGTCAAGCAACGAGGTGACAATGCATCATAACACAGGACAGAGGGGCTCCTGTAAGAAACCACAGCAGCATATTTGGTGAATGGTTATGCATAGAACTGGCATGGAAGTTAATGCTAGACCATCCTCAGCAGGCAGCATGTGCTCCGACAAATGGAGATTGCAGCTTCTACTAATACAGGGTAAAAATGTAACTTGTTAGAAGTTTCTAACTCAGGGACACACTCTCTAACTTGAACAGCAGACAATACAAGGTACTTTGATTCTAGATCCTACAACCCAATGCCATTTGACAGTTGCCTGAGCTTTTCCAAGCTCAGATGACTGCTCATTAGCTTTATGAAGTCAACTTCAAATATAAAAGCACTTAGCTTACCAGTCAAGAACTGCAGTTACACTGGTTACCAGTCACAGTCAGACACCAACTTAGGAAAACTGACTTTAAAGAAGATTGCACTGTGGACTCAGAATAACTTCAAGCATCATTCCTCTTAACATGAAACATGTACTGCTTTCCATCATGTTCTAGATGTCAGCACATACATATTCTAAACTTTTAGAAAAATACCATTTTGAAAAGGTCAAACAAAGTTTAGATTTGAAAAAATCTAAACAAAAGGCCAAGATGTCTACTTCCACTGTGAAAAGCCATTGAGTTCAAAAGCTATCTTCGGGTGTGTGTTTAATGCCTCAGCTAACTTTTATACAAATCTTTAGTGTTTTGGCATCTAAATCTGAACCATGCCACTACATGGGCATTGTGCAAACACACATAGATACACACACGCACGCACGCACGCACGCACGCACGCACTCCTTCAGGGGCAAACCACAGATTTGGGAAGGGCTGGCTGTGAAGGAACTGTAACAATCTACCTGAGTCCTCAAGTTTCTAATCCATCCTCAAAGAGATGATGTTATCAGGCAAGACTCTAGTAGTTGTATGTTGTGTCTTTAAACTTTGAAGTTAGGCCACACCCCTTGCACTGAGAACCTGAGAATGCAGGTGTGACAGTTAAGCTACAAAAGCACTTCACCACGAGGGACAATGGTTTCTCTTCTCTCTTGGTGGGATAAAGGAGATCCCTGAAAGCAGTTTTACACAAAACACTATGCCTTAGACTCTTCATACTGGCATCCAAAATTTCTTCACTTTTTTAAAGTTAAAAGACGCAAGTATGAGCTGTTATACCATACAGTATTATTTCTCCAGTCAACCAGTTTTTGTTAAGGTTTTATAAGATATGCTAGAAACAGAAACACCAATAAATAATTTTATATATATATATATATATATATATAGAGAGAGAGAGAGAGACAGAGAGACAGAGAGAGAGAGACAGAGAGAGAGAGAGAGAGACAGAGAGAGACAGAGAGAGAGAGAAAGATTAGTTTGGGCCTGGATATAGATTGGATGGGTGAGGGGTGATGACATTAGCCACCATTCTTTAATATTGACACAACAGAGAGCTCACCTGCAGCTTAAAGCTTTTCCTATTGTTATATAAACCTTAGATACCCATCCTCTGGCATATTATAAAAAAAAAAAAAAAAAAAAAAAAAAAAAAAAAAAAAAAGCTCAAAACATTAGATTATAAAAAAAAAAAAACTAATGTAAACAACCTCTGGATACCAAGATGCCTTGGGGCATCTTGAACCATTTAGTGATATTTAGTTAGTATAAGAATTATTAAAAACATAGAAACAATGTCACTCCTCTTTAAGCTTTCTGGTCATAGTATGCCCTATGAAAAACAGAACAGATGCCCACTCTCAGCTGTTGGGCATCTTCCCCAGAAAATGTATACATGAAGGTTTTCCTCTAAGCTTTCCTTCCTGTGTACACAAAAGGCTAGGATGTCTACAAACAGTTCTTAAGGAACTCAACTTGGGGCATTGCCAGTAGACAATTAAAATAAAACCTGCCAGTATGAAGAATGAGGTACCAAACAAGATTAAACACAGCCATGAAGGACAGGAACCAGGAAAGGAACTTGGCTTTGCAGTTCATTTCTGTCTAGAGCAGACAACACTAGAAGGTTCATTAGTCCATCTCTCTTTAGTAAACAGTCCAAAGTTCAGATATTTTCAAAATAAGTATAAAATTGGAAATTGGAACATTCTAGCCAAAGATCATCAAAAGGAAAAAGATGGGAGACTGTAATTTCTCCTAGGTGGGACCTATGTATACAGTTTGCCTGATAAAAAATTTTATGGAATTTGGGTGTTTATTTTTGATATATTATCAGAAAAGCTTCTAAGACAAAATAACAGACAATAGAATTTTATCTGACCCCATGTACTTTCTAATGTGATAGACTGAAAAACCAGAGAATTTTCATGTAACATTAATATGAATATATTTACATTAAATATCACAATCAAAACAGATTATTCAACTCTGTATCAGAACACAGTCCTAAATTTGGGAAAGTGTTAACACCACAAAGAAAAGAAAATGGGAACCAGAATACAGGGGAAATAGTCTAAACTTTAAAAGTTAAGGTAACAACAAAAATGTGTGAACTGTCAGTAGATATTAAGTCTATGAAGTGCAAAATGAATGAAAAGGACTGTGTAACAATCAAATACATCTGAAATTTCTGTTTCATTAGAGAACCTTGGCATTAAGATAAAATTTTTATGCATGTGAATAATCTTTTTATATATAATTTTCTTATTTGAATTAGAAATAAGATTGTTTCACATGTCAATCCTCTCCCTCCCCTCCTCCCCTGCCCCCCACTAATGCCCTACCTATTCAATACCATTTCTGCTCCACAGGGAGAGTGAGGCCTTCCATGGTGGAGGGTGTCTTCAGAGTCTGTCATATCCTTTGATATAGGGCCTAGGCCCACCCCTGTGTGTCTAGGCTGAGGCAGTATCCCTCTATGTGAAATGGGATCCCAAAGTCCATTCCTACGCTAGGGAAAATACTGATCTACTACATAGATTTATGAGGCTTCCTCACTGACACCCACATTTCATGCTGGTTTCCCAGTGAACAGTCTGGGGAC